TGAGTGAGTAGAGTGATGTGATGGGCAATAAACGCGGTGGAGTTCAAAAGAAATTAAAACAAAGAATAGCGCATCTGAGATGGCTACTTTATACTAAAACTCCAGCACCCGCATGGTCGACGGCTCAAAACTTGCAAGCTGAGCTCGACTTTTTGATTGAAATCAAAAAAAAAAAAATTCCCATCACACCTACTCACTCAAGTAGATATAAATACCACATATATACAAAATATTAATCGACCGACTACCCCAAAGAAGCTGCCTAAACTAAGGAAGAGATGTCCCAACGACTGCGGAGGACCCTTGGAATCCCCCTTCTGTGAGTACACGTGCACATCCAGCACCGGTGTCACAGAAAGAAACGCGTCGGAGAAATAACAGCCTGTGCAGCCAGTACCGGCCCCGTCTAGCGCACCAAGCTAGACCGTAGCGAAGCGCCCCAAAAAAAAAAAAAACAGAATTTGTTTTAGGCACTGCGATGCATAACACTAATATTTAATAAAAATCTTGTAAAATCGAGCGGAAACATTTTCTGCCCGTAAAGCTCACGCAAATACTAGGCAGGAAAACATGTAAACAATTTTTTTTTACAATTCCAAACAATTTTTCAAAAAGCCAGTAAAAACAAAAAAAAATTAATAAACAATTAATAAACAAAATTAATGAAATATATATGTCTATAGAAACTAATAAAATAAGTAAATTGATGGAAAATTTTGAAAATTTTGCCAAAATGGGCATTGTTGACGTAAAAACCGTAGACTCGACAGCTAACGTAATAAACAAAGTCGAAGTCGATAACACCGATCTAAAACTAATAACAATACTTATTGTTATAATTTTTATTATAAAACTAGCACATCTATTATACAAATTGTATAAGTACTATAATAAATGCATTAAGAAGCGATATCAAAGCCAGGCAAACGACCTGGATAAAATTTAAAATAAAATTACTAGTAATCTGCAACAAAGATTGCTTAAAAACATTATTGAGAAAAAAAACTAATTAAAATATATGACTATTTGCTTATCAAATTTATATATGTGTTTGCATATTTTATTGGTTATTTTATAAATCTGTCTGCAAAGTAAGATTTTATTTTTATTTCCTGAAAACATTCAAAAATAATATAGACCAACCAATTTTTTTTTAAAAAATGAAATGGAATTGTAAAAGATTAATGCCGAAATAATTAATATTAAAGAAAAATTCGACAAATCATACATTTGTTTAGCACAAAATAGGAATATTTCCAATGAGACTATAAGTAGACACGCAACAACACTAGTTGCATGTTTTAACCAAGCACGTTCACTGATACACGACAATAAAGAAAAATTAAATACCCAACATTGGTCGTATGTATCAAGATTTTTACATAGGTTGAAAACAAACCTAAATATCATTAAATCAAAATATGCACTAGACATAACAATACCTTCGATTTTGAATACCCCAGTATTAGTTGAAGAAGATACAAACACAGACATAGAGACATTAAGCGATTCTGAAATCGCAAGCGGTTCAGACCAATATATAAAAAAAGATCGACACGATCTTACGATACCAGCGGTAATCACATTACCCGAGCTATCTGAGTCTGAACAAGAGTTTATAATTGAAGACAAAACTGTAAATATGGCCATGACACAAGTAGAATTCCTTAAACTAGCCTCTTCACTCATACCTGAGTTTAGTGGAAAGTCTGAGAATTTACAAAGTTTCATTGATGCTCTTAATTTAGTGGATTCACATGAAACTACAGCAGTAAGCCTAATAAAAACTAGACTCAAAGGCCATGTTCGAAACCTAATCAATACAGAACAAACAATTATGGCTATAATAGACAAACTTAAAAGCGGCATAAAAGGCGAATCAGCAAAAGCATTATCCGCTAAATTGTTTAATCTGCAGCAAAAGCAAAAGACAGCAAGTCAATATATTCAAGAAGTTGAACAGTTTACAAAGGCTTTGCAAGCAGCACATATGGTAAACGGTGTATCACAAGAATACGCTGAAGAACTTAGCCTACAAGTTGCTGTAAAAATAATGGCAAATAGATATTATAATAATAATAATAATAATGGCAACAATAGACAGAGAGGCCAATTTAGAGGAAACTCTAGAGGCCGTGGTAACTCAAACGGAGGCCACAACAATAACAATAACAATAATGTGAGAGTAGCCCAAAATACTTCGGGAAACTCCCAACAGCCCTTAGGTACACAGCAATAGATAGTAAAAAGGTTCATTCGATTAATCTTAGTGTAAATATATTCGTAACATTCACAAATGTAGCTACAGGCAAGAAACTAATATTATTGATAGATACTGGTGCAGATATATCTTTGTTAAAAGAAAATTCCGAAACTTTCAATGATATAAACATTAATAATAAAGTTAATATTCAGGGAATCAATCAAGCATTAATTCAATCCAAAGGACTAACATCTTTAGAAATACAAACAACTAAATATATAATTCCACACAACTTCCATATTGTCGATTCAACTTTTTCTGTACCGCGTGATGGAATTTGGGCATAGATTTTATTAAAAAATATAATTGTCAATTAAATTTTACACCTTCAAAATATAATCTAAATTATCCCATCTATGTTCCCATAACTTACAGCTCCGGTAATAATACAATAGTGTTACCGGCAAGATCCGAAGTTGTCCGGAAAATCGAGCTAACTTCAAATGAAGATAGCATTCTAATTCCGAACCAGGAAATTCAACCTGGTATATATGCAGCAAACACAGTCGTAACGACTGCAAATGCATTTGTCCGTTTACTAAATACAACTAGTACCGATCAAATGATTAATATAAACAAGTTAAATTATGAACCGTTAGCAAATTATAGAATATCCGAAATAAACAATGAAACTAGAACCAGAAAAGTTATGTCGAAGTACCAAAAAATTTTCCAAAACTTTTTAATAAACAATTAAAAGAACTTTGTTGTCAATATACAGACATATTCGGACTTGAAACCGAACCAATTACAACAAATAATTTTTATAAACAGAAACTAAGATTAAAAGATGATGAACCTGTGTATATACAAAATTATAGAAATCCTCATAGTCAAAAAGACGAGATTCAAGCTCAGGTCGACAAATTAATTAAAGATAAAATAGTCGTACCTTCCGTTTCAGAATACAACAGCCCATTGTTACTAGTACCCAAAAAATCAATAGATAACGAAAAGAAAAAATGGCGATTAGTAATTGACTATCGTCAAATTAATAAAAAAATTATTAGCCGATAAATTCCCACTCCCTAGGATCGACGATATCTTAGATCAACTAGGTAGAGCAAAATATTTCTCTTGCCTTGACCTAATGTCAGGATTCCATCAGATTGAGCTAGACAAAAACTCTAGAGATATAACATCTTTTTCAACGAGCAATGGCTCTTATCGCTTCACGCGATTACCATTTGGTTTGAAAATAGCGCCAAATTCATTCCAAAGAATGATGACTATTGCATTCTCTGGACTTGAACCCTCACAAGCATTCCTTTATATGAATGATTTGATAGTAATCGGTTGTTCTGAAAAACACATGCTTAGCAATTTAATTAGTGTTTTCGACATGTGTAAGAAATACAACTTAAAGCTGAATCCTGAAAAATGTTCATTTTTCATGCATGAAGTCACATTCCTGGGACATAAATGCACAGATAAAAGAATCTTGCCAGGTGACAAAAAATTTGATGTCATATTAAATTATCCAGTCCCTCATGACTCGGACAGCGCTAGACGTTTTATTGCATTTTGTAATTACTACAGACGATTCATCAAAAATTTTGCCAATTATTCTAGGCATATAACAAGACTAAATAAAAAGAATGTCCCATTTGAATGGACTGATGAATGTCAAAATGCATTTGAATATCTTAAAGCTCAACCAATAAAACCAACTCTGTTACAATACCCAGATTTTACAAAAGAATTTTGTATAATCACGGATGCAAGTAAGCAGGCTTGTGGTGCAGTGTTAACACAAACCCACAATGGAATTCAACTTCCGGTAGCTTACGCATCGAAACAATTAACAAAAGGAGAAAGTATGGTTAGTAGTAAAACGCACTCTATGAAAGGGTTCTTACCTGTGGCAGTTATGTTATACTCTGTGTACTCTTGTATAACAAATTTGTCACGAATTGTCTGAAAATATTGAATACAGCAGCCGCGTCGATACAGCTACGTATATCTGTTCGTTGATCTGTTAGTTGTGTGTATTTATTTTGAAAATTATCTTGATTTAATAAATTAGTGTACTATATAGTAAATTTCCGCAGGATCAATTACATAGATGAATCTGGAAAAACACTTAAGTCTTAGCGGCTGAAAGATCCCACAAAAAAAAAATAATTAATTGATCTAGCAGAAACTGTCTACTTCATAAATGGATTGTTATACCGTGAATATAGGGCAATAATAGGGCAAGTACAATGGTATTACATAAGAAGGAAATAACAGTTTATCAACTTTTCATCTTACGAGTGTGCCGTCATTTTCCATAAATTAATTAATTAATTGGGACCATACATAAAATGTTCCATGTGATTAACAAACCTTTCGATAGCTAATTATTTTAAATGACTATTCGAGCTTAAATTGTTGTCTAGACGTGTTAGTTATTTTCCTGTCCCAATTGTTCTTCGTGTTAAGCTGGCTGCCATACTTCGTTAATTTAGATGGTTTTCCAGAAACACCATATATTGCAAAATTTACCTGTTTGTCTGAAGTTCTTAACTTCACCAAATAAAAAGAAAAGTGGAAAGATGCGAGAAGAGAAATACCTTGGATAAAGTTGATAAGGAAATGCAACAATTTTCATATTATTCAGTTAAAATATGAAATGAAAAACCTGTAATAAGTAAATGGGGATGGATAATGCGAAGCAATACATTTTCTAAAACATCCCATTTTAAAGTCTTTTAATTTCGCTGGAATTTTCACTATCGACTATAAGGCAAGCGAGTACTAAAAATTGTTAATACTTTTTATTTAATAATTAGCGCCGAATAGAATATTCGCTACTAAGAGAATATCACCAGCAATTTTTCCACAACTCGATTCATTAACAGATTGGGACCTTAATGCTGAACGAAGCGGCAGCAAAAAATCGGTGTATACACTAGAACTAAATTGAAAACTTTCAATAGCATCATAAATTATTTTAAATAATGGTTGCTTGTTGGAATGGAAGTAACCCCTATTACCGTGTATTAATTTTATTCCTGAATAAGAAGTATTACAAATACTCATATACATGCAGTGATCTGGGCGATAGTTGTATTCACATGGAATGATATGTAGTTTGTCGGGATGATAATAAAAAAGTATATTTATAATATCTTGGTCACCCCATGTTATGCGTAACTTATATTCTTTATAAATAGGAAATACATGTTGTTCCCAATTGAAGTTTCGCATGCGTGTGAGGTTCATCAGCATGACTCCAGAGTTTACTCCAAGTTGACCATAAAAAGGATGTCGTGCAAAACGGTTATACCATCCAACATTTCCATTTTCGTGCTCAGGTGCTAGAGCAGCGATTTGACTTTCATTAAATTTGTCAAAAAATTTCCAAATGTCCGTTATCGGAGATAAAAATAAAATATCTGTATCAACGTATAACAACGAGTCGACCTCCGTCAATAGGGACTTGAAATAAATTAAAATATAGAAATTATCTTCATAGTTTTCTAAAAAATATATAACATTTTAGAACCTTATTGCATAAAATAAAAACATTACTTAAATTGCTTAAGCAAAACAATATTTATCTTCCTGCAACAAGTTCTTACCGGCAAAAAAAGGCGTTGTGCGGCACATGGCTTAAAAAGGGATTTCCACTCCATCTCACTTTGGTTTGGAAATTTTAATGGCAGAAGCTCAAATTCAAAGGGTTGGGGGAGTGTATCCCGCCAGTCCGTCAGCTTCTCTCTTATTATTTCAGTTAATGGATCTTCCGTAAATACTAAAAACTTTAGGCATTCGTGGTAATAATTAAAAAGGATAGCCGACTTTATCATAACTAAAGTCTCTTGGGCTCGCTGGCCACAGGCGACTGCAACAATATGAAAGGTGTGACGCCTATGAAATTGTATACAAATTTGGTTAATAAATAAAAATATATTATTTTAAAGTAATTTTAAATAAGTTAAACAAAAGTTAACAAAATACTCTCTATGATATAAGGTTTTCTATTTGAAGATTCCGATGTTATTATAGATGTATTTATTCACTGCAATTTTGTTTGTTATTTGTTGCTATTCACTGCAGTGGCTTTTGCTGCCGAAGAAACTAATTTTCTTAACATAAGCAAATTAATACAGATCGATTAATAAGAGGCCGTTGACACCGGCCGTTAATATGAGTCCGGTGTCAACGGATGCAATTATGAGCTAGCCAAAACAACAAAACTTAAATGTAAACATGCATTTGTGCCTCGAAATCCAAAATGTAAACACAAAACCAAAGACTTAATTACAAACCAATGGCGAAGCCACAGATAAGTTCTTGATTCCTGGTCTAACAGAAAAGTTATCCAGCTGCTAAACAAAAATCAAATAAGCTACTTTATTTTTATCATTTTTATTCCAAAAAAAAATTTTTATTTTAAAAAAAAAATTAGTTCCCTCGATAGAATTCAAACTCAAAACAAGTAAGAGGTTCTAGTCGGGAGCTCTCGACTAGGGGATACCCTGAACACTCTTCTTCCAACAGGCGATAGGTATAAAATGAAAGATACTTGATATATAAGTATATACTATTCTTGAAGCTACATGTCAAGTTTGGTGACTCTAGCTCATATTATTTACCGAAATTGCTCAAAAAACAGGATTTCGATATCGATTTTTATCGATTACGTGCAAACGGGGCATGTTATCGAAAATGGCAAACAAACTCGATCTGCGCGGGGACTAGGAGGACCTACAGCTAAAATTTTAAGTCTCTAGCTCTTATGAAGAAAAATTAAAATAGCAGCACATACACGCAGCACAGAAAGCAATAGAATCGCAATTGCAATCATATAATTCAATAAAGACGCGCGTGAATGTATGTGTATACATGTATACAGAAATTCTTGCGCTTTGCGCTAGCTGCCGCTAACACGTGGGCTGCCAATATATATATTTATATCTATATAACCACGCGTTTTCTTTAATAACTTTTGTGTTTCTTAACCGATCTTGACGAAATTTCTAACAGTATATCTTATTATGCTATAGAACATTCGTATATTCTCAAAAAATTGCATAAAAACGGTGGTCTCAATAGGTGGGTAGTTCCAATTGAATTATTTATTTGATTTATAGCTATGTTGTGTAGTCGATATTTACCATTCAATAATCTACTTTTAACATTTGGTATCTCAAGCTTTTTTAATTATGAGATTTTCTTACAACCCAAGATTTCAATATCGGTTTATATTGATTACTTGGAAACGGAGAGAGAGAGATCGATTATCGGAAATAAACTCGTACTGCGCATGCACTAGGAGGACCTACATTCCATTTCAATTTCAAGTCTCTAGCTCTTATAAGTTCTGAGATCCTTGCACACCAATATAAACAACAATTTAAATGCAATTGTCATTTTGAGAATACATGAATATTTTAAAGTACAATAAGATCTACTGCTGAAAACTTCATCAAGATCGGTTAAGAAACAAAAAAGAAAATGTGTTTTGGCTGCCCATTTGGTTAATAAATAAAAATATATTATTTTAAAGTAATTTTAAATAAGTTAAACAAAAGTTAACAAAATACTCTCTATGATATAAGGTTTTCTATTTGAAGATTCCGATGTTATTATAGATGTATTTATTCACTGCAATTTTGTTTGTTATTTGTTGCACTGCAGTGGCTTTTGCTGCCGAAGAAACTTATTTTCTTAACATAAGCAAATTAATACAGATCGGTTAATAAGAGGCCGTTGACACCGGCCGTTAATATGAGTCCGTTGAAACAGTTGCAACGTAGCCAAGCATTGATGCAATTATGAGCTAGCCAAAACAACAAAACTTAAATGTAAACATGCATTTGTGCCTCGTTTGCGGCAGCTAGCGCTCACTCCAAGAATTTCTGTATACATGTACACACACATTTATGCGCGTCTGCTTTGAATTCTATCAACAGCATTGCAATTGCGATTGTATTGTTTTCTAAGCTGCTATTTTAATTAGTTTTCTGCTCATTAAGATTTAATTATTGGTGTGCCTGTTGAGTAGAGGCGGCGGAAAGTAGCGTAATCAGTTACGAGATCGAACCCTACGGAGGAAACTGTTTTCATTTTTTTTTGGCTGGCTGTTGAGTAGAGTCGGCAGCAAGTAACGCGGTCAGCTACGAGTTCGAACCATGTCAAGGGAACTTTGTTTTTTAAATTTATCATTGTTACTACTAAAGCAAACGAGCGCGATCTGCATTTGGTGTTAGAATAAGAGAGTTCAGGGTATCCGCTAGTCGGGAGCTCCCGACTATAACCTCTTACTAGTTATTTAATAAAAACTAATGACCTAAATGAAATATTTATATTTTATATTCAAATATCTTTGTTTACTGTGGGGACCTATTTTGCTTAAAATAAAAAAGCAAACTAAGTCATATTTCGGAAAGGGTAATTCATCGCCGGCTTTTCGAAGAAATCTAAGAGACCAAAAATTGAACATGTTCAATTTTTGCGACTCGCTACTTGTGTCATATTATAAAAGGGTTTGGCCTGTTCATGTGCAAAATTATTATTTTTCATGCTTGTTGTTGGTAAGGCTACCTGAACGTTGGCATGTGTGCATAATAACTCTTTGGGCCGGCTAAGCACGCACACTTACACACTCTTCTATATGGATGGAAGCATTTATGCGTTTGTGTGCCTGTACATTGCCTTCCTGCCCGATGCGAATTTGGCAAGATATGAAGTTTTTGTGATTTCTGAATTTCGAGCTCTACACACACACACATGTGTGAGAATTAGCCGATAAAGGGTTTGTCGTGAGACTGAGATATTTTCTTCAATGGGTGCGTAAAATTTGGGCGACAAGCACAAACAGGGAGAAAGAGAAGCAAAGTGAGAGCGAGGCATACTCTGCACATGCATACACACATATGTGTTTGGGCTGTAAGGATTAAAAACTAACATACATATATTAAGAAAAAGCATCAGCCGTAGCGACGTTGCGCGCTGAGCGAGATGCGGCTTCATACTGATTGTTCGCCTTTAGAGGCCGGCGATCGGCTGCCACTCTCAGCAATAGTACTCTCTCTGGGCATAACAAAATGGTCGCAGGCACCCATGAGGTTCACTCGTTGCGATTTATCGTGATTCGATTATTCTGCTGTTTGACATGTCTATGCATTGTATGGTTAGTACTGTTACATACATTTGCACAAATACTTTATACTCTTCTTACCTATTTTAAATGGGTTCAGGGTTTAATTATGTGTTCGATTCATTGAAACAAATTTCAATATATACATACATATTTTGATGTACTCAAAAATGCATAACTTACAGATAAAAACATAGGTGCTTGCATTCCATTGGATAACACAAGAAATTTCCTCCCCAGCATGCACTTTTCAAGTTCAAGTTCGTGTTGCTTTTTGAGAATCAAATGCAGTCTGCTGGTTTATCGTTTGTAGAGCGAAAAGTCAGGCTTGACGTTTTGCGTCATCAACAATGGATGGGCGTTACTCATCTTAATATACATATATATTGTCGTTGGTCACATAGTAAGTCTACATTTGCCTGACATGTCCTTTACCCCACAGGATGCAACCATAGTATCTTACCGTCGTACTCTATGCCCAAGACACTGCTTGCTCAGCGTCCTCTGGGTATATATTGAGTCCAATCCCATTTCTGTCCAACCACAATCAAGGAATTGTCATACTAAATTTAAGAGCTTCTAAAAGGTGTATAGCATGGTACAAATAAACTCCCAATTATCCTTTCGCCTCGAATTAGCTACTGTCCAGCTACCCTCCAGACTAGAGACTAAGAACGAATTACGCCAGTTGTGTTAGCTCACATACACCACATGTTTTCTTTAATATCTTCCGCTTGTTATATGATTTTGAAATTGAATATTTGAGAAATTCAATTTGGTGACTCTTGCTCTGACAAAGAAGCCCGAATTAACTAAACAAGAGTGAAAATGGGATTAGCTTTGGATAAGGTTATAGCTAGACGGATGCGCCAAAATAAAAAAAAACAGCGTGTCTGTGCCTTATTCTCTTACTTGGAACGGTATTTATACATTCAGCAGCATTTATTGCCGAAAAAAACGGTTCCTAAGGGCAATAACTTTTAAATTAATAGATATTTCTACCATAAATATGTATAAAAATGGGTTTATCTTCTATATTCATACGTCCATACATACGAATGTATGTTCATATATCTGTACGTATACAAAAATACTTACATTTCGTTGTGTCCAGTGTCGGATTTAAATGATCGTTTATAGTCCCAATGTGGACGTTCATTTAATATGTAGAAAATCATAGTGAGTGCCATAATACTAAGAAAAAACATTTGGAAATGGCGCTAAAATATGCTATAGTTAGGTAAGCTGGTTAAAATATCATATGATTTTCATATACCATTTTGTTTTCTAAAAAGTAAATACATATGTACGTACATACATATGTATTTCTTTAGCACTAATATATTTTGAAAATTAATTTATTTCCCCGGCTACACATAAGCAAACCAACATTGGTTAGCCATATAAATACCAATCTTTAGTAAGTCCTGGAAATCGAATACTACGAAGAACTAGGGATATTTACTCAACTCGTTAAAAGTTACTAGTACTTAAAAGTAACTAGTTACTGCTGTTACACCTTACAAAAGTAACAGCAACAAAGAATCATCCTATGACATGCACGGATAGTAAAGCAAGGGTCTACTCTTCGGTCGCTGTTTACTCAAAAGATTGACACCGAAAATTACACTAAGAGATTACTAGGACGATATGACAAATGAGTGGATCAATGTTGATGGCGAAATTTATATACACTTCACACGAAGATATACTTTTCAGCATATTTTATACATTTCAAAAACTTGCACAGTTTTTAATTTGTATTGCTGCCTATTATTATACTTGTTGTATAGTTAAAGTCTTTATAACAGATCTGTACTCAGGCTATTCCTTTCGTATTCTTCGAAGAGCTGAGTACTGTGTCACTGGCCTGTACTCAGGTTGTTCCTTTCGTACTCTTCGAAGAGCTGAGTACTGTGCCAGCACTAACCAAATAACAAGCCAAAGCAGTTTCCTGTAGTGAGAGCGAGATAAAAAACAGCGATGCCGTTCTATCGCACAAATCATATGGATGAGAGTAAGCCAAAGCAGTTTCTTGTAGAGTGAGCGAGTAAAAAGACAGCGTTGCCGTTCCACGACACAGGCCATATGTATTCTTACTCTCTTGCTCTGAGAGCATGCGGACATGTCTCGAACCCGAACAAAAACGAAGGCGAGTTTGGACCAGCCGCAAAAAAAAACGAATGTCACCATCAAAAGTACGGTTTGTCCGGTCTATATGTTATTTGGTTAGTGGTAACAGTCAGTATTCAGGCTGTTCCTTTCGTTCTGGCTGCAAATGTTTAACTGTTGTTATTTTTTACTTACACTATACGTCCCTTTAACAAACAAACTAACTAACTAAATTAACTAAAAATATCATATAAAATTAATATAATATAATAAAAATATAATATTCATATTATACATCATAACATAATTAGATATTATTTGGTTCATATATATAATTTTTTTCATAATAAACTGCACGCCTAAAAAAAGTATTTGTCGCTAATATTTTTTTTGTAACTGTCACAGTTGTCACTGTGACACAGAAATAAACCTATTGATCATCCCTACAAAAAAAAAAGCTTGTTATTGCTGGACGAAACATCGATGCATCGATGTTTTTAAATTTATGTCAAACATCAATGTTTTTCCTGATGCACGATGTTTCGCTAGTTCTTCGTTCTGATCACTCCACAAAAGTCAACGTAGTTTTTATCATAATTCCATTTCCGGTGTCGAAAATTAACATTACTGTGTATTTTGTTGCATTTGACGTTATCGGCAGCATCGAAGGATTGCTTAGTTGGTTGCGTGCGATATTATCGGCCACGCCTATATTCTTTTGTCATATGGCCAAGGTATCGGGAGTGCAGCTGGGTCCACAGCGGAACCCAATTTGTTGAAGGGTGGCAACGCCAGGCTTGCGATCCACGGCGCCAAAAGGGGCGATTGCTATTGGCCGCCCGATTCGCCCTAAAAGAGACTATGAGGAGAGTGGATCGCATGACCTTGGATATGCCCTTGGCCTTCATTTGGGCCGTTGACCCAAAAAAATGCGGATGTGCAGATGGACAGCAACGGTGCCCGCCTCGCATATGTATGCGTGTGCCGAAATTCGGCACCGATGTTGCTGCCCAAATGTACAGCCGGGAGTTCGATTTGATCCGCGGTCAACGGCGGGCGTGTCAGCTCGAAGCGAGCTTAAAGTTATAATTTTACTGTCGGCCCATAAAAAACTAAGTTTCTAGAAAAACGTTCCGCAATTTAAAATTTAACAATAAATTATTTATTTGCCGTTTATTAATACAATCTAAACAAACACTGTTTCAAATTTATACAAAATTAGAAGAAACTTAAAACTTAAGTGCGACATGAGACGAACAAATAAAAATCAAAAGACTATTAACAAAATAAACGGCTCCGGCAACGAAGGGACCAGCTCTCGCACCAGAGAAGCCCACGAAGTTCACCCCAAAGGCCAGGGTTGGGCTCAGCAGCGCACGCCAGCCATATCAGCGGCGCACGCCAGCCATATCAGCGGCGCACGCCAGCCATATCCGCGACGCCCGTCAGCCAAGCATCAGCGCAACCCTGAAGACGGCAGGACGAGCCACCAACGACCGGGCTCCAACAGTGAAGAATCGACCACAGGCGAGACCACGCCCACATCCTCCGCGTGAGTCTGTTCCATTTCGCCCCTCCTCGTTCGAGTCATGGCAGAACCAGACATAGACTCCTGATTGTGCTCCCTGAAAGAGAGCAGATTTTTTGCAGTTGTTAAATTTAGTTTTTTGTTTATAAATTATATATATATACCTATGCACTTACGCCAAGCATCACTTTAGAGTGCGAACAGTGAGGGAATAACCCCAAAGGTTATGCATATTCGCTTATAAAATATAAAAGTTTAAAATTTAGTACTTGTGTGAACAATACCCACATATATACCTAATTTGAATTACCCCTTTCAATCGCCCCTTACCGACCCCAGAGTGCTCTTTAGGTAGGGCAAGGTAGGACTAAGCGATTTAATATATGTATATATATCACCTACCTGTTGCACGACTGATTGTCGTGACATACCCAGTTCTAAGTATTTGCGTGGGTACACTGTTCCTGAATCGGTGCAACGATTGCCTCATGTTTGCCTTCTTGTTTTATTTTTTGAGGTATTTTAAATTTAAATTTAACAAGGAATATTTTTATTTTGCTGTTCAATAAGTAGACATGAATTTAAACATTGCGAGACAATATAAAAAATTAAAAAAAACTTAAAACTTATATGCGACACGGAACGAACAAATAAAGACGATAAGACAATTAATAAAAGAAACGGCCCAGGCTTCCGGCAACGAAGGGACCAGCTCTCGGACCAGAGAGGCCAACAGAGTCACACCCAGGCCAGGTTTCGACTCAGCGGCGCACATCAGCCATACCCTCGGCGCACGTATCACCGACGCTACCCAGAATGTTGGCTGTCTGTATATCAGCCTGTCTGTCTCTGCCGGTGTGTCTGCCTGCCTGTCTGTGTATCTCTCTCTCTCTCTTTCTATGTTTCTGTATGTCTGCAAGTCTGTAAGTCTGCGTGTCTGTCTGCCTGTTTTCCTATATATCTGTCTGTCTGTCCGCCGGTCGGTCTTCCTGTCTGTCTGTCTCTCTCTCTCTCTGCCCGTGCATCTTACTGTCTGCGAGTCTATTGGTCTGCCTTTCTGTGTGTCCATCTGTGTGCCTGTCTGTCTGTCTGCCCGTCTGCCTGTCTCTCTGTCTGCATGTCTGTCTGTCTGTATATCAGAATGTCTGCGTCTGCTGGTGCGTCTGTCTGCGATGCTGTAGGTATTCCTGTCTATCTGTCTGCCTGACTGTCTGGGTATATCTTTCTTTTCCTGTGTGTCTGTATGTCTGCGAGTATATGGGTCTGTGCGACCGTCTGCCTATCTGTCTGCCGGTCTGTCTCTCTTCCGGTGTGTCTGTATGTCTGCGAGTATGTGGGTCTATGTGACTGTCTGCCTATCTGTCTGCCGGTCTGTCCATCTGTGTACCTGTCTGTCCGTCTGCCCGTCTGCCTGTCTCTCTGACTATATATCTGTCTGTCTGGTAGTCTACCTGTCTGTCTCTGCCGGTGTGTCTGTCAGTGAGTCTGCAGGTATTCCTGCCTATCTGTCTTCCTGACATCTCTCTCTACCTGTGTAGCTGTTTGTCTGCGAATCTGTGTGACCGTCAGCCTATCTTCCCATCTGTCTGACTGTCTGCCGGTCTGTCTGTCTATCTGTGTACCTGTCTCTCTGTCTACATATCTGTCTGTCTATAAGTCTCTCTCTGCCGGAGTGTCTGTTTGCGGGGCTTTAGCTATTCATGCCAATCTGTCTGCCTGACAGTCTGTGTATCTCTCTCTCTCTCTCTTCCTGTGTTTCTGTATGTCTGCGAGTCCGTGGGTCTACGTGTCTGACTGCTCGTTATCCTTTCTGTCTGTCTGGCCACCGGTCAGTCTGCCTGTCTGTTTGTCTCTCTCTGCCCAGGCGTTTGACTGTCTGTGACTCTATTGGTCTGCCTTTCTGTCTGTCTATCTGAGTGCCTGTCTGTCTGTTTGCCCGTCTGCCTGCCTCTCTGTCTGCATTTCTGTCTATTTGTATGTCATCCTGTCTGTCTTTGCCGATGCGTCTGTCTATCTGTCTGCCTGACTGTCTGTGAATCTCTCTCTCTTCCTGTGTACCTGTACGTCTGCGAGTCTGTGGGTCTGTGTGACCGCCTGCCTATCTTCCTATCTGTCAGTCTGTCTGCCGATCTGTCTATCTGCTTTTCTGTCTGTCTATCTGTGTGCCTGTCTGTCCGTCTGCCTGTCTCTCTGTCTGCATGTTTGTCTGTTTGTATATCAGCCTATCTATATCTGCCGGTGCTTCTGTCTACGGGGCTGTAGGTATTCCAGTCTATCTATCTGCCTGACTGTGTATCTCTCTCTCTTCCTGTGTGTCTGTTTGTCTGCGAGTCTGTGGGTTTGTGTGATCGTCTACCTATCTTCCTATCTGTCTGTCTGGTTACCGGACGGTCTGCCTGTCTGTCTGCCTCTCACTCTGCCCGTGCGTCTGACTGTCTGCGAGTCTATAGGTCTGATTTTTTGCCTGTCTATCTGTGTGCCTGTCTGTCTGTTTTACCGTCTGCCTGTCTCTCTGTCTGCATGTCTGTCTGTCTGTATATCAGCCTGTCTATCTCTACCGGTGTGTCTGTCGGCGAGGCTGTAGGTATTTCTGTCTATCTGTCTGCCTGACTGTCTGAGTATCTCTCTCTCTTCCAGTGTGTCTGTATGTCTGCGAGACTGTGGGTTTGTGTGTCTGTCTGCCTATCTTCCTACTGTACGTCTGTCTGTCTGTCTCCCTCTCTGCCCGTGCGTCTGAATGTCCGCAAGTCTAGTGGTCTACCTTTCTGTCTGTCTCTCTGTGTACCTGTCTGGCTGTCTGTATGAATATCTACCTGCCTGTCTGTGCCGGTGAGTCTGTCTGCGAGGCTGTAGGTATTCCTGTCTATCTGTCTGCCTGACTGTCTGAGTATCTCTCTCTCTTCGAGTGTGTCTGTATGTCTGCGAGCCTGTGGGTTTGTGTGATCGTCTGCCTATCTTCCTATCTGTCTGTCTGGTTACCGGTTGGTCTGCTTGTCTGTCTGCCTCTCTCTCTGCCCGTGCGTCTGACTGTCTGCGAGTCTATAGGTCTGATTTTTTGCCTGTCTATCTGTGTGCCTGTCTGTCTGTATTACTGTCTGCCTGTCTCTCTGTCTGTATGTCTGTCTGTCTGTATATCAGCCTGTCTGTCTCTGACGGTGTGTTTGTCTACGGGGCTTTAGATATTCCTGCCAATCTGTCTGCCTGCCAGTCTGGGTATCTTCCTCTCTCTCTTTCTGTGTTTCTGTATGTCTGCGAGTCCGTGGGTCTGCGTGTCTGACTGCCTGTTTTCCTTTCTTTCTGTCTGTCCACCGGTCGGTCTGCCTGTCTGTCAGTCTCTCTCTCTCTGCCCGTGCGTCTGACTGTCTGCGAGTCTATTGGTCTGCCTTTCTGTCTGTCTATCTGAGTGCCTGTCTGTCTGTCTGCCCGTCTGTTTGCCTCTTTGTCTGCATGTTTGGCTGTCTGTATATCAGCCTGTCTGTCTCTGCCGGTGTGTCTGCCTTCCTGTCTGTGTATCTTTCTCTCTCTTTCTCTATCTTTCCATTTTCTGTGTTTCTGTATATCTTGAGTCTGTGGGTCTGCGTGTCTGGCTGCCTGATTTCCTATCTGTCTGTCTGTCCGTCGGTCTCTCTCTCTCTCGCTCTCTCTGCCTGTGCATCTTACTGTCTGCGAGTCTATTGGTCTGCCTTTCTGTCTGTCTATCTGTGTGCCGGTCCGTCTGTCTGCCCGTCTGCCTATCTCTCTGTCTGCATGTCTGTCTGTCTGTATATCAGCCTGTCTGTCTCTGCCAATGCGTCTGTCTATCTGTCTGTCTGTGAGTCTTTGGGTGTGTGTGACCGTCTGCATTACTTCCTATCTGTCAGTCTGTCTGCCGGTCTGTGTGTCTATCTGTGTATCTGTCTGTCTGTCTACCCGTCTGCCTGTCAGCCTGTCTTGCTGTCGACATATCTGTCTGTCTGTAACTCTATCTGTCTGGCTCTGCCTGTCTGTCTCTGCCGGTGCGTCTATCTATCTTTCTGCCTGACTGTCTGTATATCTGTAACTGTCTTCCAGTGTATCTGTATGTATGCGAGTCTGTGGGTTTGTGTGACCGTCTGCATATCTTTTTATCTGATAGTCTGTCTGCCGGTCTGTCTGTCTGCCTTGCTGTCTGTCTATCTGTGTACCTGCCTGTCTATCTGTCCGTCTCTCTGTCTACATGTCTGTCTGTCTGAAAGTCTACCTGTCTGTCTCTGCTGGTGTGTCTGCGAGGCTTTAGGTATTCCTGCCTGTCTGCATGTCTGTCTGTGTGTCTCTCTCACTCTGCCTGTGTGCCTGTATGTCTGGTCTGTGGGTCTGTGTGACCGTCTGCATATCTTCCTATCTGTCGGCCGGTCTGTCGTCTGCCTTTCTGTCTGTCTATCTGTATACCTGTCTGCCTGTCTCTCTGTCGACATATCTGCCTGTCTCTAACTATACCTGTCTGTCTTTGCCGGTGCGTCTGTCTATCTTTCTGCCTGACTGTCTGTGTCTCTCTCTTCCTGTGTCTATGTATGTCTGCGAGTCTGTGGGTCTGTGTGACCGTCTGCCTATCTTCCTATCTGTCAGTCTGTTTGCCGGTCTATCTGTCTATCTGTGTATCTGTCTGTCTGTCTGCCCGTCTTTCTGTCTATATATATGTCTGTCTGTAAGTCTGCCTGTCTGTCTTTGCAGGTGTGTCTGTCTGCGACGCTGTAGGTATTCTTGCCTGTCTACATGTCTGTCTGTGTATCTCTCTCTCTCTTCCGGTGTGTCTGTTTGTCTGTGAGTCTGTGGGTCTGCGTGTCTGTCTAACTGTTTTCCTATCTGTCTGCCTGTCTGCCTCTCTCTCTGTCTACAGATCTGTCTGTCTGTAAGTCGTCCTGTCTTTCTCCGCCGGTGTGTCTGCCAGCGAGGATATAGGTATTATTGCCTATCTGCCTGTCTGCCTGTCTGTGTATCTCTCTGTCTCTGCCTGTGTGTCTGACTGTCTGCGAGTCTATTAGTCTGCCTTTCTGTCTGTCTGTCTGCCCGTCTGCCTGTCTCTCTGTCTGCATGTCTGTCTGTCTGTATATCAGCCTGTCTCTCTCCGCCGGTGTGTCTGTCTGCGGGGCTTTAGGTATTCCTGTTAATCTGTCTGCCTGCCAGTCTGTGTACATCTCTCTCTCGCTTCCTGTGTTTCTGTATGTCTGCTAGTCCGTGAGTCTGCGTTTTTGACTGCCTGTTTTCCTTTCTGTCTGTCTTTCCATCGGTCGGTCTGCCTGGCTGTCTGTCTTTCTCTCTCTCTGCCCGTTCGTCTTACTGTCTGCGAGTCTATTGGTCTGCCTTTCTGTCTGTCTGCCTCTCTGTCTGCATGTCTGTATATCAGCCTGTCTGTCTCTGCCGGTGTGTCTGTCTATCTGTCTGCCTGCCTGTCTGTGTATCTCTCTGTCTCTCTCTTCCTGTGTGTCTCTATATCTGCGAGTCTGTGTGTCTGTCTGCCTGCTTTCTTATCTGTACGCCGGTCGGTCTGCCTGTCTGTCTGTCTCTCTCTCTCTCTGCCCGTGCGTTTAACTGTCTGCGAGTCTATTGGTCTGCCTTTCTGTCTGCCTATCTGTGTGCCTGTCTGTATTTCTGCCCGTCTGCCTGACTCTCCGTCTGCATGTTTGTCTTTCTGTATATTAGCCTGTCAGGGTCTGCCGGTGTGTCTGCCTGCGAGGCTGTAAGTGTTCCAGATTATCTTTTTGGCTGCCTATCTGTGTATCTCTCTCTTTCTTCCTGTGTGTCACTATGTCTGCGAGTCTGTGGATCTGCGTGTCTGTCTGCCTGTTTTCTTATCGGTCCGCCGGTCGGTCTGCCTGTCCGTCTGTCTCTCTCTCTGCTCGGGCGTTTGACTGTCTGCGAGTCTATTGGTCTGCCTCTCTGTCTATCTATCTGTGTGCCTGTCCGTCTGTCTGCCAGTCTGCCTGCCTCTTTGTCTGCATGTTTGGCTGTCTGTATATCAGCCTGTCTGTCTCTGCCGGTGTGTCTGCCGTCCTGTCTGTGTATCTTTCTCTCTCTCTTTCTGTGTTTCTGTATGTCTTTGAGTCTGATGGTCTGTGTGACCGTCTGCCTATCTGTCAGTCTGTCTGCCGGTCTTTCTGTCTGCTTTACTGTCTGTCTATCTGTGTACCTGTCTGTCTGTCTGTCCGTCTCTCTGTCTACATATCTGTCTGTCTGTAAGTCTACCTGTCTGTCTCTGCCGGTGTGCCTGTCTGCGAGGCTTTAAGTATTCCTGCCTGTCTGCATGTCTGTCTGTGTATCTCTCTCACTCTTTCTGTGTGTCTCTATGTCTGCGAGTCTGTGGGTCTGCGTGTCTGTCTGCCTGTTTTCTTCTCTGTACGCCGGTCGGTCTGCCTGTCTGTCTGTCTCTCTCTCTCTGCCCGTGCGTCTGACTGTCTGCGAGTCTATTGGTCTGCCTTTCTGTCTATCTATCTGTTTGCCTATCTGTCTGTCTGCCCGTCTGCCTCTCTCTGTCTGCATGTCTATCTGTCTGTATATAAGGCTGTCTGGCTCTGCCGGTGCGTTTGCCTATCTTCCTATCTGTCTGGCTGACTGTCTGTGTATCTCTCTCTCTTCCTGTGTGCCTGTATGTCTATGGGTATGTGGGTCTGTGTGACCGTCTGCATATTTTCATATCTGTCAGTCTGTCTGCCGGTCTGTCGTCTGCCCTTCCGTCTGTCTATCTGTATACCTGGCTGTCTGTCTGCCCGTCTGCCTGTCTCTCTGTCGACATATCTGCCTGACTCTAACTCTACCTGTCTGTCTCTGCCTGTCTGTCTTTGCCGGTGCGTCTTTCTATCTTTCTGCCTGACTGTCTGTGTATGTCTCTCTCTCTGTCCGTGCGTCGGACTGTCTGTGAGTCTATTGGTCTGCCTTTCTGTCTGTCTATCTGTGTCCCTGTCTGCCCGTCTGTTGGTATATCAGCCTGTCTGTCTCTGCCGGTGCTTCTGTCTATCTGTCTGCCTGACTGTCTGTGTATCTCTCTCTCTCTTCCTGTGCGCCTGTATGTCTGCGAGTCTGTGGGTCTGTGTGACCGTCTGCCTACCTTCCTATCTGTCAGTCTGTCTGCCGGTCTGTCATTCTGCCTTTCTGTCTGTATATCTGTGTACCTGTCTGTCTGTCTGCCCGTCTGCCTGTCTCTCTGTCGACATATCTGTCTGCCTGTAACTCTATCTGTCTGCTCTGCCTGTCTGTATATCAGCCTGCTGTCTTTTCCGCTGTGTCTGCCTATCTGTAGCCTTACTGTCTGTGTATCTTTCTCTTTCAGTGTATCTGTATGTATGCGAGTCTGTGGGTCTGTGTGGCCGTTTGCCTATATTCCTATCTGTCAGTCTGTCTGCCGATCTGTCTATCTGCCTTTCTGTCTGTCTATCTGTGTCCCTGTCTGCCCGTCTGTTGGTATATCAGCCTGTCTGTCTCTGCCGGTGCTTCTGTCTATCTGTCTGCCTGACTGTCTGTGTATCTCTCTCTCTCTTCCTGTGCGCCTGTACGTCTGCGAGTCTGTGGGTCTGTGTGACCGTCTGCCTACCTTCCTATCTGTCAGTCTGTCTGCCGGTCTGTCATTCTGCCTTTCTGTCTGTATATCTGTGTACCTGTCTGTCTGTCTGCCCGTCTGCCTGTCTCTCTGTCGACATATCTGTCTGTCTGTAACTCTATCTGTCTGCTCTGCCTGTCTGTATATCAGCCTGCTGTCTTTTCCGCTGTGTCTGCCTATCTGTAGCCTTACTGTCTGTGTATCTCTCTCTTTCAGTGTATCTGTATGTATGCGAGTCTGTGGGTCTGTGTGGCCGTTTGCCTATATTCCTATCTGTCAGTCTGTCTGCCGGTCTGTCTGTCTGCCGGTCTGTGTGCCTACCTGTCTGTCGGTGTACCTGTCTGTCTGTGTACCTGTCTGTCTGTCTGCCAGTCTTTCTGTCAATATATCTGTCTGTCTGTAAGTCTACCTGTCTGTCTCTGCCGGTGTGTCTGTCATCGAGGAGGTAGGTATTCCTGTCTTTCTGTTTGCCTGACTATCTGTGTATCTCTCTCTCTTCCTGTGGGTCTGTATGTCTGCGAGTCTATGGGTTTGTGTGACCGTTTGCTTATCTGTCAATCTGTCTACCTTTCTGTCTGTCTGTCTGTGTAACTGTCTGTCTGTCTGCCTGTCTCTCCGTCCACGTATCTGTCTGTCTGTTAGTCTACCTGTCTGTCTCTGCCGGTATGTCTGTTTGCAAGGCTGTAGGTATTCCTGCCTATCTGTCTGCCTGCCTGTCTGTGAATCTCTCTCTCTCTCGCTCTCTTCCTGTGTGTCTGTATGTCTGCGAGTCTGTGGGTCTGCGTGTCTGTCTACCTGTCTGTCTGCCTCTCTCTGTCTTCCCGTGCATCTGACTGTCTGCGGGTCTATTGGTCTGCCTTTCTGTCTGTTTGTCTGTGTGCCGGTGTGTCTGTCTGCGAGGCTTTTGGTATTCTTGCCAGTCTGCCATCATTAGAATTATTTCTTTTATATAAAGATATACCTGTATACAAAAAATAAAAGAGGAAAATAATTAGATTTTTGTTATTTGTGCACGAGCGATACCCGTTTATATGTATATATATTTATATATGTCATGCACCATATGTGCAGAATATCCATTATGGTGGCCCTTACCGCCCCTACCCAGAGAGCTCTTTAGGCAAGCATGGTATAATAAGCGTTTTTGACACACATTCAACTACTTTCTTTGTGGCACATATATATACACGTATTTATTTCAGAGGGCACTTGCTCCCCCATTGGTGCAATAATTACCTGGTATTTATATCTTTCCTTCTTTTTTTTTTTTGTTGACTGGCAATAACTTTGTAGTTTTTCGTCGCCTGTTCCATTTAATGTTGTTAAAGTAAATAAAACGCACTTTGTAAGATAAATGCAATTTTAGAAATTAATACACATGCAACCAATAATACGCACCTGGTGAACAAATGTTCACACGCATGATAACGAAATTATCTGAATGGAGACACCTTATTAGTTAGAAAGAGATAAGAAACATTAATTGTTAACAATCATAAGGAATGCAACCAATTATACGCACATATTGAAAAGAGAATTGTCCGGCTAAGTTTAACTTGATGGGGAGAGGGGGAATAACAGCCGACACGGGCTGATGCAGGCCATCTAGTGGCCAAAACGAGCGAGACGAGTAAAGGTGATCGTCTCATGGTAGGGCGGGTACGCTGGATCCGGAACCGGGACCCGATCTTAAATCTTAATTGAGCCCTTATCTCTCCACACATCCATGCTCGTATATACGCATGTATTGCCACGCTGAAAAAAAAATTGTATGTTTGTAAAATTCTAATATATAAAAAATAATTTGAATTCCAGCGCCCAAATACACTTAGCCTACCTAAAGAGCCCCCTAGGGCGCTAAGGCCGATGAAAATATATGTTTTTTTTTGTTTACCAACATATATGTGTATGGATGGTGTGGAATCAAAAATACATATTTGTTTGTTTTTTTTTTCTTTTCAGGTTTCCCTGGCAATGGCCATCGCCGTTGGGTTCTCCCCTTTCTGCGCACAAACCATATCTCTTTAAGGTGAAAGTAAAATTATGCCAGAAAAAAAAACTAATGCCAAGCATATATTTATGACTTTTCTATCTTATTTTTATCCCCATATGTCTGGGACACGGAGGATGCTAGTCGGAACGGACTCACTCGGTACTACTTCTTCTCTGTTGGAGCCCCGCCTTTTGTGACTCGCTGCTACGTCTTGCTTGTTGTGCCGTAGGCCTGGCCGCGCGAAAGATCTCTGGCCCCGGGAATATTTTTGGGTGGGCCTGGCTGGCGTCCCTCGGCGTGGGATTTGGTCACCTTGGTTTTGTTGTTTCCGTTAAATGTAAAACTGTGTGAGCGTGTGTGTGTTTGGAAGTATCGTATGTAATTTATACACTTTAATTCCAGCTATATGTTTGTTTGCACTTAAGTTCATGAGTCAAACACCACATTTTTTGTGTGCGTGGACTCCTCTGACTGGCAATCTATATCGTCCTGGGATACCTGTGTCCGAAGCTCATATTACTACGGCCCGCACACACTAAACGTAAACACAGAGTGAGACAAAACAAATAGTAAACTTTAAACAAACTCTAACCAAAACCTACCCTAATATATCACATTTCATAACAGGTTATTTTGTCATGGCGGCTGCCACCAGGCTACGATGGACGGTCTCGAACGCTTCACCAATATGAGAACATATCATACTGCCATCAACCGCGACAAGAAAACTCCCAATGTTAATGCACACCATGGCAAGATCCACCTCCGTCGCTCTTCTGGCCATTCTTGGGGTATGCTGGGTGACAGGTGCGGCGCAGACTCGAATCTATATCGTTGGTGTGGATCCTAAAGCCAAGGGAGACTTTTCTCAGTATCTGCGTTGATATTTTTGTTATACCCTGAACTCATTGAAAATGGGTAAAAAGGGTATAATGTCTTTGTGCAAATGTATGAAACAGGCAGAAGGAAACATTTCCGACCCCATAAAGTATATATATTCTTGATCAGCATCGATAGCCGAGTAGATCTAGCCCTGTCCGTCTGTCTGTCCTTCCGTCTGTCCGTATGTATGAACGCAAGGATCTCAGAACCTATAAGAGCTAGAGAATTGAATTTTAGCTGTAGGTCCTCGTAGTACCTACGAGTTTGTTTCCGATATTCGATAACTTGCCCCGTTTCCAAGTAATCAATAAAAATCGATATCAAAATACTGTTTTTTGGGCAAATTGGGTAAATAATAAGAGCTAGAGTTACCAAACTTGATATGTTGCTTCTAGAATAGTATATATATTAGTATATTTCGTTTTATAACCATCACCACCTCCCCGCTACCACTCCAAAGCTATAAATCAAGTCAGTTCTTCAGTGTTTGCATATAATTGGTTGCATTTCCTTAAAATTATTAACAATTGGTCCTAATTTCAGACTTCATTATCTCTTATCTCATTTATAGCATAACACCAGCAAAGAAAGGACGTCACCGAAAGCTAATGCCAACCGCCGATGGGTACAACGTTGGAGAACAAATTATCTTAATTGAGCACTTTCCACACATTTCAGACATTCATACACGTATATATTTATTACCACGTTGAAAATAAATTGGTATGTTGGTACAATTCTTGTATATGTAAATTTATTTGAATTCAATCGCCTATCACTACGTTTCTTTCTTATAGGGTTTCCCTGGCAATGACCATCGCCGTTGGGTTCTCCCCTTTCTGCGCACAATCAACCACGACAAGAAAAACTTCCCATGCTCATGCGATTTATTTTATTTCGCTCGTGCACAAATAACAATAATAAAATAATTATTTTCCCTTTTTATTTTTTTATGCAGGTGTATATTTAAACAAAAGAAATAATTCTAATGATGGCAACAAAATCTTTTCTTCGTCAGGGGTCTCGAGCATGAATCTACATCGGCGGCCTGCTACTCATGGCGAGGAAGGACGACATGACTCACTCGGATGATGTGGGCGTGGTCCCTCCCGTGGTCGCTTCTTAGACAGTCCTTCTGGGTAGCGTCGGTGACACGTGCGCCGAGGGTATGGCTGATGTGCGCCGCTGAGTCGAAACCTGGCCTGGGTGTGACTCTGTTGGCCTCTCTGGTCCGAGAGGTGGTCCATTTGTTGCCGGAATCCTGGGCCGTTTGTTCGTCCCGTGTCGCATATAAGTTTTAAGTTTTTTTAATTTTTGTATATTTTCTCACATTGCTTAAATTCATGTCTACTTATTAAACAGCAAAATAAAAATATTCATTGTTAAATTTAGTTGGCCGGTTAGAAAACTTTTCTAGAATCTTTAGTGCGGGACCGGCATACAAAACGAAAAAACTTTAAAATCGCCTCGAGCACAGCACGCCTGCCGTTGACCGCTGACAAGATTGAAGTCCCTGCTGTACCTTTGGGCAACAACATCATCGGTGCCGAATTCGGCACACGCTTACATTTACGAGGCGGGCACGGTTGCTGCCCATCTGCACAGCTGCACTTTTGGGTCAACGGCCCAGTTGTAGGCCAAGGGCATTAACAAGGGCACCCGAACCGCTCTCCTCCTAATCTCTCTATGAGCGAATCGGTTGCCCAATCGTGATCGCTCAATGGTCTTATCCCTCTCTGCGCTGTGGATCGCAAGCCGGGCGTTGCCACTCTTCAATTAATTGGGCGACGCTGTGTGCCCGGTTTCACCCCCGATACTCTGCTCATACGACCAAGAGATATCGGCGTGGCCGATAATAAAGAACGCAACCAACTAGGCAAACTATCGATGCTGCCGATAACGTCAAATGCAGCATAACCACGCAGATTATTGTAACCAAACGGACGACGTGTTTACAATTAATCTGCGTGCGCATTTTCTGTATTGTTCGCCAAGCCGGCTAATTAGAACGCACAAAGTAGGCCACACCAAACCCGCTATTCCCCTCTCCAAGCTTTAGGTATGCCCCTACAAATTCTTTATCGACCGCCTCCGGCGGAAAATCATCAGCTCTACGGTCCTCAACCCGGAAGTTTCGGTTGTTGGCGCTGCGCCCGTTCCTAGCCTGAGGCCTCCGACATACCTCGGTCTGGGGGGATACCTCTTACTACGCGCGATGTGTCTCGGTGGCTCCGGCTCCGAATTTTGCTCTCTGGCGTGGGTCCCCAACGGTCTGAGCACGTCGATGATGTCCTCCATCATCTTCAGGAAGCCCGCTCGTATCTCATATCGGATGGACTCACTGATGCCGGACGGTAGGGATTGCCGATATATCTGGTGGGAATCGATGGGTGGTATTGGGAACTCTAGGCTCCCTAGATGCCCCTTCGCCGGGATCTCTCGCTCTTGAACTCGCTGTTCCTCAGCCATGAATGACTCCTAACCACAAGTCACTAACCTAACTTTTAATAAAACCAATACATATTAATCTTACCGACCAAATCTTGCTAATATTTACATAAATTTAAATTAATAGATAAATAAATATATAAATAACCACAATATTCACTATCGCCAACAAAATAACTCACTTTCGCCAACAAATCTTACAATATAAATAACTGAAGAACTAAATAAATATCGACAACAGAATTAACTCACAACAATAATTTTCCATGTTTTAATTAAGTTTCATATAATTCGGGGGAGAGACAACAAATCCTAACACAGGCTAATTTGTCTACGCATTATCTGGACAGTGGACAACATTTAAGCATTCGTCAAATGCTCAGCTCGTCAGTTTGACTGTCGCACTTCTGGGAACCTTTGGGCATGCTGTGTGACAGGTGCGGGGCAGGATCAAATCTATATCGTCCTTTGTCACCTGTGCCCGAAGCTCATATTAGTACGGCCCGCACACACCAAACGTAAGCACAGAGTGAGACAAAACAAATAGTAAACTTTAAATAAACTCTAACCAAAACCTACCTATTTTGTCATGGCGGCTACCACCAGGCTACGGTGGACGGTCTCGAACGCTTCACCAATATGAGAACGTGTCACACTGCCATCAACCGCGACAAGAAAACTCTCCATGTTAATGGACACCATTGCAAGATCCGTCTCCGTTGCTCTTCTGGCCATTCTTGGGGTATGCTGGGTGACAGATGCGGCGCAGGCTCGATTTTACATCGCCCTGGGTCACTTTTTATCACAAGATGCCTTTGTCATTGTGGCTACCACCAGGCTACGATGAACGGTCGCAAACGTTTTGCCAATATGCGAACTTGACTTACCGCCATCAACCACGACAAGAAAAACTTCTCATGCTCATGCGATATTCTGATAATATCTGCCTCCGTCGCGCTTCTCGTATTCCGTTACACGCTGCGCGATTAGGGGCTTCCCACTCGGGTCACATAAGACGTCAGCAGTGTGAATCCTAAAGCCAAGGGAAACTTTTTTTTGTACCTGCATTGATATTTTTATTTATTTCTTTTATTTCCGCCCTGACTTCAAAGAAGCCGGGCACCATAGTGTTACGAAACTGCTTGTTTCTCTGTGGGCCGCGCCGGCTGGCTCATCGGTTCTCTGGGTGTAGACCCATCCCTGGCCTGCAGTCCGTACAATCGATACCAATAAAGCTACAACGTCTGTAGAAAAACAGACCTACACAGCACTATTCAAAATGAACCATATAATCGATAACATCAAACAGACGGAACTATTATTAAATGAACAACACTAACAGCTGTAACAACAAGAAAATTTAAACAACAAAGATGAGACGCTCAATATAAATTAACAAAAAAAAAACACTATTAATTCATTTTACTCTTCCAGATCGGGTCCCGGTTCCGGAGCCAGCGTACTCGCCCTACCTGAGACGATCACTTGCTCTTGTCTCCCTCATTTTGGCCACTAGATGGTCTGCATCAGCCCGTGTCGGCTGTCATGCCCTTTTTCCCCATCAATTGAGACTTAGCGGGACATTTCCCTCTTTAATAGGTTGGTATAATTGTTTGCGTTTCTGATAATTATTAACAATTGTAACTTTTCTTATCTCCTATTTATTGAGGGTATCCCCATAATGCAATGTACGAATGTAGACAATAAATAATTCAATTGATTGCAATTCTGCATTTGAATTGATATGGTTTCGTGCCTAAAAACATATATATATGCATATAAAAGTGAGTGATATGTTTTTCCGACACAAAGTAGCAAAAATCGACGCTAAGTCACTGCCGCTAATTTGACGCACATACGACGAGCTTTCAAAAATTCGAAGAAAATCGATGTTATCGATAGATTGTCTCATCGATTTTTTTTTCGTAGCCCTACGACTTATACGAGTTGTGACTCATATCTGAATATTGAATTCTTAGTATAGATTTAAGCTTCGAAGGAATTTGCGATTAATTATTGAAAGGCTTTTGTTATTGATTATCTTATTTACAAAATATGTCATACCAGCAAAGTGGAATGCCAGATCAAACGTTTCTTTGGGACGTATTTCAAAGGTATAAGCTGATATGGTTATATGTACATAATACATTCTTTCATGTGATAGCTGTACATATACATAAGTGTATAGATACATATGCATGTCTATACATGCATGTGTCTTATGTACAAACACGTATAAATTCAAAGTGCATTAAATGTATTCATAATATTTTTTGCAATTATAGGGTTGATAAAGACAGAAGCGGGCATATATCGGCAGATGAGCTACAAGTGGCCCTTTCTAATGGCACGTGGTCTGCTTTCAACCCGGAAACAGTCCGACTTATGATTGGGATGTTTGATCGGGAAAATAGAGGAACGGTTTCATTTCAGGATTTTGGAGCGCTGTGGAAATATGTAACTGATTGGCAAAATTGTTTTCGTTCGTTTGATCGTGATAATTCCGGGAACATTGATAAGCAAGAACTTAAAACCGCACTGACTTCTTTTGGTTATCGTCTGTCTGATCATCTCATTGAAATTTTACTTCGAAAATTCGACCGGTTTGGCCGAGGAACTATTCTTTTTGATGATTTTATACAATGTTGTATTGTCCTCTATGTGAGTACTTAATTTATTTTTCTCATTTTATTATATGTTCAACAATTAATAAGTTTACTATTAAGCAAATATTTTGTTGCGATATAACAAATAGTACCATAACATAGTTGTGATTATTAGTATATTTAAAATTGTTTAACAACCACAATTTTTCTGGTCTAGGCTTATTGTCAGACTATTGTAAATTTTTATTTAAAATGTCCAATAATCCCTTAAAATCTTTTTTTTTCATTGGTTTTGTGCAAATCAATGTAAGGCAGAAGCAAGTATCTTTAACCCCACAAATGATCTCTATATATAAACCTGTTTGTCCTGACTGACTGACTGATTGGGGATCAACGCACAGCCCAAACCGAAAGAGCTGGCAGGAAATCTTCACTGTAGTTACCTTATGTGATGCTAAGACGAGGCTTTGGAAAATTCTCCCCGCAAGTGTTCAAAAATCAGGCACAACGTTTGTGTGAAACTTTTTTGTTTACCATCCTATTGGACACAAACTAATTTTCAAAGATCTTTGTTTAAATTTATTTGAGAGCTGTCTCCGTTTTCGTATAATTCCACCATCCTTGGTGGAAAGGGGGTCACAGATTTGTAGGGTGATGCTTCGGGCTCAAATTTAAATCTAAGCTTCCTCGGTGTTTCAAGGTTCAAACTTATTTTCAAAGCCCTACACAAGAACTTAATAAATGTGTTTCAGAGATTGTGGAAATTGGTGGAAAGCGGTTCTATGAAAGCTTTTTGTTTACCATCCAATTCCTTCAAATTCATTTTCAGAGATGTTTGTTAAAATGAATTTGAGAAGTATTTCACACTTTTTGCAAAATCCGCCCAATCTTAGATCTCGAAAACCTTAGGAGTTAGATTTAAAATGTTGAACTTAAATCTTCAAAGTGCGTGTTTCCATAAAATCGATAAAATGCAGAAATGCAGTTTTAGAGCACATCTCGCAGCCTATTATGAGCTAGATTAACCAAATTTGATATCTATACCCTATTCCCCCCAATATTAAACAAGTAAGAGGTTCTTGTCGGGAGCTCCCGACTAGGGGATACCCTGAGCCCTCTTTTTCCAACATCAAATGCAGCTCGCGCTACGCGCTCGTCTGCTTTAGCGGTAATAAAGAAATATTAAAAAAAAAAGTGTTCGAACTCGCAACTTTCTGCACCACTTGCCGCCCCTTCTACTCAAGAGCCACACCAATAATTGTGTTTTAATGAGAAAAAAACCAATTAAAATAGCAGCACAGAAAACAATACAATCGCAATTGCAATGCTGTTGATCGAATGAATGTGTGTGTGTACATGTATACAGAAATTCTTTTTTTACGCTAGCTGATGCTAACACGTGCGCACATAACTTTGGTGTTTCTTAACCGATCTTAATGAAATTTTCGACAGTACATCTTATTGTAGAATAGAATATAGAATATTTGTATATTCAATTGCATTTGTATTATCAATTGCATTAATTGTGGCTTAAATTAGTTGGTTATGCAAGTTGATTTATTAACATGATTTATAGCTTTGCGGTGGTAACTGGGAGGTGGCGATAGCTATAAAATTAACGATACTCGATATATATTTACTATTCAAGAAGCTACATGTCAATTTTGGCGACTCTATTTACCAAAATCGCGCAAAAAACTGGATTTCCATATCGATTTTTATCGATTACTTGGAAACAAACTCGATCTGCGCGGGGACTAGGAGGACCTACAGCTAAAATCTAGCCTCTCTTATAGATTCTGAGATCCTTGCGTTCATACATACGGATGGACGGACCGTCAGACGGACATGGCTAGATCGACTCGGCTTTTGATGCTGATAAATAATATATATTATTTATGGGGTCGGAGATGCTTCCTTCTGCCTGTTACATACATTTGCACAAATACATTATACCCTGCTTACCCATTTTTAATTGGTTCAGGTATGTACGATAATCGATAACTTACATCGTTTCCAAGCAATCCATAAAAATCGATTTCGAAATCCTGTTTTTTGAGCAAATTGGGTAAATAATAAGAGCTAGAGTCACCAAACTTGATATGTTGCTTCTAGAATAGTATATATATATATCAGTATCTTTCATTTTATACTTATCGCCACCTCCCCGCTACCATCACAAGGTTATAAATCAAGGAAATAAACCAATTAACATATGCTGCCACAATTTAAATGCAATTGTCATTTTCAGAATTTACGAATATTTTAAAGTACAATAAGATCTACTAATGAAAATTACATCAAGATCGGGTAGGAAACACAAAAGAAAATGTGTTTCGGCTGCCCACGTTATTCTGTATACATGTACACACACACACACATTCTCGAGGGTCTTCTTTGAATTCTATCAACAGCATCGCAATAGCGATTGTATTGTTTTCTGCGCTGCTATATTAATTTGTTTTTTTCTCATTAATACTTAATAATTGGTGAGGCGGTTGGATAGAGGTGACGATAAGTAGCGCGGTCTGTTGCGAGTTTTAATTTATCTTTTTTAATACTAAACCAAACGAGCGCGTAGCGCGAGCTGCATTTGGTGTTGGAAGAAGAGGGTTCAGGGTATCCTCTAGTCGGGAGCTCCCGACTAGAACCTCTTAGTTGTTTCATATAGATCCTTGGAAATGAATTCGAACACGAAACGTCATCCACCAAATCTTTGACCCCCATTCAAAATTTTTTTGAAGCCGATCGTATGGTAAGCAAACAACTTTTATACAAATGTTTTTCGCTAATTACCTACTGTTGTGGATGGAATTTCCCAAATTTCTGAAAAACGTATTCATTAAGTTCTAATGGAGAGCTTTGAAAATAAGTTTGTTGCAAGTCGGACAAAACATAAAAGTTCACTAAACAATCGTTGAATCCCACTTACCACCGATTAAGCTTTGGTGTTTCGAAAAATGTGAAAGTCGTCTGAAATGGTTTTTCATATAAATCCTTGAAAATGAATTTGTGCGCGAAACGTCACCCACCAAATCGTTGACCCCCATTTCCACCAGGGAGGAATGTATTTTTCAAAAAGTGTGAAAAACCCCGCAAATGAATTTGAACAAAGATCTTTGAAAATGAGCTTGATGCAGATCGGATGGTAAACAAAAAGTTCTATACAAAGGTTTTTCGCGATTTTTCCACACATGTGGGTGGAATTTCCTGGAACCCGTCTTAACGTGCACCTTCATCAGATAAGGTAATTACAGTGAATATGTTTGCTTCTTTCCTCGTAGTCAATAAGTCAGTCAGTCAAAAACACAAATAGTTTTTAATATAGAGATATATTAATGCCGAAGCATATCATCAATTTTTATACCTCTAGCACATTAAAAATGGGAAAAAAAGGTGTAATGCATTTGTGCAAATGTATGTAACAGGCAGAAGGAAGCATACCCGACCCCATTAAGTATGTATATTCTTGATCAACATACGTAAGTATGAACGCAAGGATCTCAGATCCTCTAAGAGCTAGAGACTTGAACTTAGGTCCTCCGAGTGCCCGCGCAGTACAAATTTGTTTGCGATAATCGATGACTTGTCCCGTTTTCAATCAATCAATAAATATCGACGTCGAAATCCTGTTTTTTACGCGAACTTCGTTAGTTTTAAGAGTTGGGTATGGCTGTTGAGTAGTGGTTAGCATATAGCGCAAGAATTTTTGTATACATGTACAAACTCATTCATGCGCGTCTTTAGTGAATTCTATCAACAGATTTGCAATTGCGTGTATTGTATTAATTCGATTTTTTTTCGTTGAATATTAATTCGATTACTATTGAGGAATCTAAATTTTTTTTAAATTTGTTTTTATTAATGCTAAGGCAAACAAGCGTAGACCGCGAGTTGCTTTTGTTGTTGGTAGAAGAATGTTCAGGGTATCCCCTAGCGTGCACTCCCGACTAGAGCACCCTCTCCTGTTTTTACTGTCGGTATATTTCAATTTTGTTCTTTAATATACACATAGTCATTTAAATCGAGCGTTGTTTAAAAGCGTTATAAGTATATATGAAATTCTAATCTAATAACGAATATTATTGTTCCAATTACAGACGTTAACTACAGCCTTCCGGCAACATGATACCGACATGGATGGTATCATCACAATCCACTATGAACAGTTTTTAAGCATGGTTTTCTCACTTAAAATATAATAATGTTTTGACTAAATTTATAACACAAAATGTATCTTTATTATATGTATATAAATGTAAATAATGAGAGTGACTCAAACTTTTTGACGACACTTGGGAAATTGATATCCCAACCTCAATAACAATCTTAAGCATACACATACTTTTAAATATATAATACTGATCAAATATATTTGATTGCTTATACAAAGAAAAGCATTTGTTTGTTAGCAACATAATGCCATTCGATACTTTAATATTCGCGATTGAGCTCTTGTTTAGTGAGAAAGAGCATATTTTTACCATTCAACAAAAAGTCACATGTCATTTAAATCTCACTTGTTGTTTTGTTAAGTCAATCGCGAGTTACTTGATATCAATGCAAAAAAAAGCCAAACCATATGTATTCGCTCGTTGGCACACGCATATTAACAGTTTAAGCCCATGCGCCATGCATGCCATTCGCCGCCGTTCACTGTTTTAGGCTAGCCAGCCGTATCTTTCGGCTGAAATCCGGCGACAAATACAAAATAAAAGCCGATACCCTGCTGATAAAAGATTGTAATCTAAATATCCTAAACGACCTGCTAAGAGAAACACAATAGCTCGTAAGAGTACTGGCGAATGGTGTAGGAATGATGACGAGCAAGATGAAGCATTTGGACAGCATTTACACTCAGTATTTCAGTCAAATGATTTTGCTGATATATTCAGACTCTAATAGAAAGGGAAGTAGAGTTTTCTAGACTCACCCTGTCAAATGAGCTTACCAATTCGTCACATTAGCTTCGAAGAAGTTGTAGCAGAGATTAAACCCATAAACAATAAAAAAGCACCAGTCTCTGACAAAATAGATGGCTTAACCATTAAAAATCTTCCTCCAAAATGCAGTCGGTTCCTAACTTTTATATTCAATGCAATACTCAGACTAGACCACTTTCCAAGTCAATGGAAAAGTGCAGAGATAATCATGATTCTAAAGCCAAACAAACTTGAAAATGAGCTCTCGTCGTACCTTCCTTAACGTTCAACAAGCGTTTGATCGCGTTTGGCATAACGGTATCCTATATAAAATAAAGAAATGTCTACCTGCACCATACTATTTATTATTAAAGTCGTATTTCGGTAAACGATACTTCTACATGCAGCCAAAAAGTGAATCGTCGCCACGTCCCATAAATGCCAGTTTCTCATTACACAACTGTTGCAACATACGCGGATGACACATCCATTATATCAACTAGCTTATCAAACTAGGTAGCTTCCCAACATCTGCAGTTAAAACTCAAGCTAAATTAAGCTTGGTTTCTCAGTTAGAAAATAAAAGTAAACGCCCTAATATCCGTTCAAATAACATTTACATTAAAAAAAAGGGCAATTCAGCAATTCCGCAAAGCAACTTTGTAAAGTATCTTGGCTTGCATCTCGATCGGAGACTTACATGGAAAAATTATGTCAAGGCAAAACGGCAACTTTAGTTAAAGGCACAACGAATGTCCTAGATGATAGTCCGAAAATCTCAAACTAGCCTAGAAAACGAAGTTCGCCTCCATTAAGCCATACTAAAGCATGTGTGGACATATGCTTTATTCAGCACTATCAGTCAAAAACATTCCGATCCATAGTAAATGCTACTTTCTACATCTCTAATACAAACATTCACAAAGACCTAAAAATTCCTAATGTAAAAGAAGAAATAAATAAAATGAGTACAAAATACATTGATAGACTTAACAACCACCAAAATAACCTAGCCTTAAATCTAACAAAAAGAAGTCTAGCAGTATGAAGACTTAAAAGAGTGCATATTCTCGATCTTCCGGATAGATAAATTAAATAAGTACAACTTCAACCTAACATATAAAATATAAATAATATAATATAAATATAAATAAGTAAAATATTAGTACGTTTCACTGGAAACTTTCTATTCCTGTTGATTTTAATTATAACTAACTAAGTTTACTTATTCTCTTAAGACAAAATGTAAATAAATAAAATGTATAAAAAAAAATGTTGTAGGCGTTACTGTTTTATTTAAAAAATTTAAAGAATTAAGATATAAATTTTATCACTGTAAAGGAGAAAGTTATCTACTATTAAAAACATTGATCGCGCGGGCAATAGTAGAAGCTACGGTAAAATTCAGGTCTCTAAGATTGATTTGTGTATTCATACGGACAGACGGAAATGTCGAGGTCGACTAAACTGTTGATCCTGACCAAGAATATACATATAATATACTAGCGGGTATAACCCGGCCTTGCCCGTGGCACGTATGTTATAAAATCAATGTTCTCAAACAAATTTGAAATGATTTTGAAACTGATCGGACGGTAAACAAATAACTTTCATACAAACGTTTCCTAACAGTGTTGTGAGTGGAATTCCCCAAATCGCTGAAACACGTCACTTTGAAAATAAGTTTGAAGCAAATCGGACACAATTTAAAACTTCGCACAAAAAATCTTTGAGTCGAATTCCACCCGAAAAAGTTTGGATTCTGCGAAAAGTGTGAAACACGTCTCAAATGATTTTTCTTATAGATCTTTGGAAACGAATTTGAGCGCGAAACGTCACCCACCAAATCTTTGACCTCCATTTCCACCAAGGAGGAACGGATTTTTCGAAAAGTGTGAAACACCCCTTAAATGAATTTGAACAAAGATCTTTGAAAATAAGTTTGGGGCCGATCGGATGGTAAACAAAAAAGTTACATACAAATGTTTTTCGCGATTTTTTCACACTTGCGGGTGGAATTTCCCAAATCGCTGAAATACGTATCTATTAAGTTCTTATGTAGAGCTTTGAAAATAAGTTTGAAGCAAATCGGACACAACTTAAAACTTCGCCCAAAAAATCTTTAAATCGCATTCCCCCCGAAGCAGTTTGAATTCTGCGAAAAGTGTGAAACACATATCAAATGATTTTTCTTATAGATCTCTGGAAATGAATTTGAGCGCGAAACGTCACCCACAAAATCTTTGACCTCCATTTCCACCAAGGAGGAATTGATTTTCCTAAAAGTTTGAAACACCCCTCAAATGAATTTGAACAAAGATCTTTGAAAATAAGCTTGGGGCCGATCGGATGGTAAACAGAAAACTTTCATACAACCGTTTTCCGCCAATTTACCACTGTTGCGGGTGGAATTTCCCAAATCGCTGAAATACGTATTCATTACATTCTTATGTAGAGCTTTGAAAATAAGTTTGAAGCAAATCGGACACCATTTAAAACTTCGCACAAAAAATCTTTGAGTCGCAATCCACCCGAAAAAGCTTGGATTCTCAAATGATTTTTCTTTTAGATCTCTGGAAATGAATTTGAGCGCGAAACGTCACCCACCAAATCTTTGACCTCCATTTCCACCAAGGAGGAATTGATTTTCCTAAAAGTTTGAAACACCCCTCAAATGAATTTGAACAAAGATCTTTGAAAATAAGTTTAAGGCCGATCGGATGGTAAACAAAAAAGTTACATACAAACGTTTTTCGCGATTTTGCCACACTTGCGGGTGGAATTTCCCGAAACCCCGTCTTAACGTGCACCTACATCACATAAGGTAGCTACAGTGAAATTTTCAGCTTCCTAGCTCTTACGGTTTGGGCTGTGCGTTGATCATTAATCAGTCAGTCAGTCAGTCAGTCAGGACAAACAGTTTTATATATAGAGATACTTTATGAAGTTGAAGGTGCATTCTTCTGCTCGTTACATACATTTTGTGACGCGGAGTCACAATGAGGCCCGCGCACGGATATATGCACACAATCATAGGTTAAGAGGACAGAAAAATGAAGTAATAAAATTTTACAATCATAATAATACTAAGAATAATAATAATAATATTGTAACCATAAGTTAAGAGTAAAAGATGAAGTAAATGAAGTCAGTTATCGGTTAAGAGTATGCTTACTAAATTAAAAGAGTCCGACTGCAAGCACAATCGAATCACTTGCAACTCTGTTGATATTATTAGGAGTAAAAGAGAGCCAAGCTTAGAGAGAGGACTTTCGCTGCAGGGCTAAAAGGGCGAAAAGAGGGTCGTGAGCTGCTGCGGCCGATCAGCAACTTGACTTTGGAACCGACAAGCGTGAGTATCGGACGTGCATACGTTAAGAAACAAATAAAAACGGAAGTGAATGTACACAGAGTAAAACGGTGTTTGCGTGTTGTCTGTGTAGAAATTGTGCATTTGTAGGCTTTCGTTTGCGATCCCAGCAGCACCCATCACGCAGGATGACTCTAACCTAACCGCAGCGGAGCGATCCCAGCGGCTTACCTTTTTCCTTAACAGAATTAGTAACTACTCTGTGGCGGAGTTATCCCTACGGCTCCATATAAGACAAAGAAGAGACTCGAAAACTAACGGACAGCCATAAAACTTCTCGCTGAGCGAGCGCGTTTGCGGCGAGCGCGCTAGCGTGTGTGCACGCTTACAAGTACACGCTCACACGAATAAGCCGAGAGTCGGCAGAGCGTGCGTCAACGGGTACCAAAAGGGTACCTTGGGCCGAGGCCGGTACGCGTCACTTTTTAGGGTGGTCAACTAAAAGTGCGACTATTTTTTTGTGCGGCCAATGGTGGTGTTCTGGCTCGATAAACTAAAGTTAAATAAAATTAATTAAAATAAAACAAACTAAAATAAAATTAATTAAAATAAAACAAACTAAAATAAAACAAATTAAAAAAAATTTAAAATAATTAAAATAAAATTAATAAAAAAAAAATAAATTAATTAAAATAATTAATATAAAATTAATTAAAATAAAATTAATAAAAATTAAATTAATTCAAATAAAATTAATTAAAATAAAATTAATTAAAATAAAAATAATTAAAATAAATAAAAGTCAAATAAATTGAAATAAAATAAATTAAAAATTAACGTGATTTAAATAAACGGAAATAAAACAAAACGAAATAAAATAATTATAAATAATCATAAATAAATACAATAAAAATAAATTCGGAAAACCAGAAGGAAGTAATTAAAACGAAGCGGTCGAGGAAGACTGCATATCCGAACGGAGTCACGTGGACCAGAAGAGGAGAAGGGAACAGCAGTAAAAGGTTACGAACGAACGGATGGATACGGGTGAGTGTCAGAATCCAGGGGTGG